TTAGAAAAGATCCTGCTTCATGCATTGGGGAAAAACCAAAATAAAACTCGGGAATAATTAAATAGAGAGATCCCCAAAAATTATGAAGTAATATCAAAGGGTATAACAAAATCGACAAGAGATTTATATGTATTCTTTTGATGAGAAAGAAAATAAATAAATAAAATTTACCGTCATATCTTTCAGCTTGCTCAGCGAGTCTCGCCAAGTAAACTTGCTGCTCTCTTTCCTTCTCCATCGCTTCTCTCTCTCTTTCCTTTCTCCCTGTTTGAGGCTTTGCTTTTTAGCTTTTGCGGTTTCGGAGAGCCGGGGTAAGGAAGGTAACTGCCTTTAAGGAATGCCGTACTTTGTCTCTGACCGTTGGATGCGGTTCGCTGGGGAGGGTGAATCGACGGTCCAAAATGACTTTTAGGAGATGCGGGTGGGGACTTTGAAAGGGGAAAAAAGACCTTTGGAAAGTTGAAATGTTTGGTGCGGGTGAGGGTGGAATCCCAGCGGTGCATGTGAGGGATTCAGGAGAAGTTTTAGCCGTCGGATTGGCGATATTTGATCCCATGGGAGAAGTGATGTTGACGGGGACCACGACTGATGGTGATCCCGTGGGGCCCACACTCGTTTTTCTGATGACTTTGTCAGGTTTTTGGACACGGTTCTTTACACAAAATTTAATTGTTTTCCATTTTTACCGAAAAAGTGTAAAAATAAAATAAAATTCTATTACTTTAATTTTCATCATATTTTTATCCAGTTTTATTTGTTAAATTACACTTGTACTGTAATTAATTGGCAGAGTCAGAGGGCAGTGGCGTTGATCAAAGCGGAGGTGCCAAAACATATAGTCAGCTTTTCCCGCCACAGCATCTTCACTCTCTCCTCAAATTTTCTCACCAACCAAACAACGGATAACTTAGGGATTGTTTCCCTCTCCAAAACCCACCTGAGCATTTCGCGTCTCTCTCTCTTCTCCCCATCACTGAGGTTAGCCTTACGCCGCTTTCGTTTTCGATGTAAGATGGCAAATTCCGGTGACGATTTCTCTCAATTCGATATCTCAAAAGAGGTACTTTTTTGTTTCAAAATTTTATTATATCTTTCGAATTTACTTATTCAATCTGTCCAACAGTTTTTTTTTTTGTAATATTTTGGTAGGAAAAAGACAAGCTAGTCGCGGAAGTAATTCGTTACATACTGTTTAAAACACACCAGAACTCAGGGTGTGCAATTAAAAGGGAAGAGCTTTCTCAATTGGTTACTAAAAACTATCGTCACCGTGCCCTTCCTGCTTTTGTTATTAACGAGGCTAAAGACAAACTCTCCACCATTTTCGGTTATGAATTGAGGGAACTTCAAAGATCTCGTCCTTCTTCGACAACCCATGCGCGATTATCTCAACAGAGTAACATTTTATTGCCCCAGCCTTTTTTTTTTGGTTGAAATTTCACAATTCATTTTAATATGCTCTAAATATAATATCAATGATATATATTGTTTTTCAGGTGGGACTGATGCTAAATCCTATGTTATCATGAGCCAGTTACCAGCTGAGGTGTATAGGAAATATGTTGAGGATGTGAATACATCTCACTTGACTGGTTTTACTTTCGTTGTGATTAGTATTGTGCACCTTGCTGGAGGCAAAATCGCAGAAGGTGGTGCATATTATTGTTCTAACTATAAACTTTTGAGATTTTGGGCATTAACCTTTATAAAACCAACATGTCAGGATGTATGGGATAGTGGGAATCTGCCTTTTTGTTTATTTTATATATTTATCGATCATTTACTTAACAGGCTTTCTTGTTTTACATCAGTCAAGTTAATTTATTTAGCTGGAGTGTAATGTCGCATGTTTACTGCTAGTAGATGTTCTTAACATTGGTTTCTTGATGAACTATGGCGTAAATTTCTTCTTTTTTGGTTTCTTGTTTTAATAAAAAAAACCACTTTGCTTGTGCAGAAAATCTTTGGCATCATTTGAAGCGAATGGGATTGCATGAAACTGATGAAAACCATCCAGTCCTTGGGAATGTTAAGCAGGTAGTTGAGACACTTGTCCAGCAAAGGTAAGTGTGTACCTGAAAACAAGGACTCTGTGGTTTATAATGCTTTTACCCCAACAGCCAATTGATTTGGACATTATACATATCGTTGTTCCTGTATTCTTCTTGTAGATATCTGCAGAAAGACAAGGTTACTGGCCCTGAAGGCAATGCTTTGTTTTATGAGCTTGCTGAGAGAGCTCTTGATGGACCAGTTAGTGAGAGAATTAAGCAATACATATCACAGGTATTGACTAGAAATTGCTGTCTGGTGTTTATTGTTGATGCGTTCATCTTTATGGATATAATTTTTTGCATAGAAGTTCTTTTTAAATGGTTTTACACTTCTTGATTAGGCACTACTTTTCTCTTTAATAACTTCAATTTTCTCATGGAAATTTGGTTTGGTCAATTTACATGAATACTGCTGCTGAGTGAGCTTTTCCTTTCAGTTGGTAATTGTATTTGTGCATGCCATATGTATTGACAAAATATATTTAATGTTCAATTGTTGTTGCTTATATGTGTGAGTATTTTCTCTTGAAGAGAGTGCAATTTGCAAAAAATACAGCTGCAAGAAACTTTCTCCTTACCATTAATAATTTGTGTTCAAGTATGGGCATGTTTGCATTCATGTGCATGTTACAGATATTGATTAGAAATGATAGATTCAATTGTTGTTTTCATTTTTGTGGCTATTTTTTCTTTGATTTGGGGCAAGTTGGATGCATTAATTGGTATACTGCTAGTAGGCTCTTCATTGAGAATAGACAAACCTGCATATATTTATTTTTCCCATCTGTGGACCTTCAATTGTAGCAAATCCTTTATTTTTTGGCAGAGTAAGATTTAGGGAAATATAGCTATCTGTACACAACATGGATACCAATCAGTTCCCCTAGACTCCTTATCCTGCCATCCCTTTTCCATCACAGGACATATCTGCTGACCTTAATGGTGCCAGAAGATAGAACATGGAAATCTAAGTGACACCTCTTTTGGAACCATGAACTTTCTATAATGCATTTTCATGATTATTTGACTTTGTTATGTGTTATTTGCAAACACCAGTTGTTTGCACTATAATGATTGTTGGTACTGACCTGTGGGGAAGTCTTTGCTTGGCAGATTGTGAAGAAAGATATTGCCACCATGGATACATAAAGCCTTAATGCTAGCTATTCCTAAGCAAATGGAGGTATATGTTCAATGGCCGACTCATCATTGAGTGAAGCTCAGTTACTCATATTGGATGTTATTTTCGTGCAGAAGGTGTGGGAGCCTTTCAAGGTGCTGATGCTTTGGTGTGGTTTTGTTCATTGTTAGCCAGGCATGCTCCTGTCATTTATGTAACACTGGGCCGGGGTTTTTAAAGTTTCTGGCTTCTTTATCTGGCCAACAGTTGATACTGCGAATACTGATTCATTTTGGTTATGCATCTATCTGTGCTGTCTCATAGTCATAGCCCTTAATCTCATTTTGATAAAATTAACTGTACCCAGTGAAACATTAATACAACACATCCGTAAGTGTGTAAAACTTACTACTGATACCATAGTGTTTATCTTCTTTATCCGTAGCAGGATTTTTGAATCATTTTAATGCCTGTAAGCACGTAAAAGTGAACCTTTGCATTTGGTCAAACTCTGCAACTGAATAAAATGGTTAATGGAGATGGTCCAATGGTAGCCTAATATGTTATTATCTTCAACAGATCATTTCCAAGTTCTAAACAACCACCGCTAATCCCAAATTCCCGAGGTCCCAGGTGGATATAAAAGAGAGTGGCAGCATGAATTTCAGCATTTCCTTTGATCCAGTCCAGATGATCAGCTAACAAGATTGCGCAGCTTCAACACGAATTGAAGGACCACTTGTGTTTAACAAGACGTTGTAAACATGCTTTAATAGAGCCCAATGGCTTATGTAGATGATGGCGACATCAATACATTGCATTTCTTAGTTGTAACGTATTCACAAGTTGCAGTTTTGCCACTCATGGGCAAAGATGTATTCTAAATCATATTAACAAATGAAAATTAACTAGTACAGTATCAAGATACAATAGCATAATTCAAATTAAACACGGAACATTGGTGTAGAGAAAAATCTGTAACAAAAAAGGCTCCTGCCACGAAGAGATTGCAGCCAAGCTTTCAACAGTAAACATATACCTATTCCACACCAGCTAATGAGTTAGCGACATCCACTCATTGGCACAGCACGACTTGTGTTGGCATCACCGATTGAAACAGTAGCAAGGGATTTAGAGGCCCATGATCTAGCATTCATTGCGCCTCGCAAATTGCTTCTCTTACAAGGTTCCTTCAGGGAGTTAAACAACTGAATTGCTCGCTTCAGATAGGCCAAAGAATGTTCCAACAAACTCCCCAACTTCATATTTCGCATGAGCCTTCTCCAAGTGAACTGAGCAAATACAAGCAAAGTTGGATACAATAGGTAAAGCAATCTAAGAAGCACAAAAGTGGTAGCCAGAGCCAAATAGGTCTCTTGTCGAAGTAAATTCTCTGGAGACCTTGCCCATGAGAATGGGCAGCTTTCCTGCTCAGTGCTATTATGCTTCTCATGATTTGACAAGCGCCCAATTTTGTCCAATGATGTTTTATCCAGAGATTTGTTCTTAATACCTACAACCAGGTAATATATACATTAGAAAATTAAACAAAGCCAATAAGAATAACAAAGCAGGAAAAACAGATATCATTATAAATAAATAGCAAAGCAAAGAAGTTAGCACAATTCACATAGCCTGCTGATGTTTCATATTACACCACCACAATTTATTTTCACTCTCTCTATCTTACATGAACTGCCATAACAACTCATATTAATTTGGGGGGACGGTTGCATTTTGGGTTGGGAAAAAAGGGGGAAGGGGGATGTAAATCCATTAAAGCCAATGCAAAGAACAAAAAACAACTTCAAGTTGTCTTTGGGCTTTGGTACATAGGATCAAGGATAGTACAAGTAATAGGACAATACAAAATTGATGATTTGATGGTCCTAACTCATCTTTCCTTTTTTTTATTTATTTTCATTTTGCATCATCTATACAATCTTATGCAGAGCAGTAGGCTATCCCACATGGAATGAGATGGGAACATTTTTGTCCTACATTACATACACCAAAAGTAAGACATACTGGAGACAGTTTACTGTTCAATACTATCGTATCACTCTTATCCCATCAAATACACAATCTTATGCAGTAAACAGAACCACATGCATGCTTGATTGAGCACCAACAGAAAGCAAAATGAACATGAAATAAAATATAAAGAAAGAATGAAGAATGAAAAACTACATACAAAAGTATGCCATTAGTCAAAACATACAGATGAATCATCTCAATTTTCAAACTATTAAATAAACCAGCTCAACATACTATAGAATGAAATAGTCACAATTCAAAAGCTGCAGAAAAAGGCCTTACCAGTGACATCACTATAGAATGCACCTAGAGATTCAAAAGAGCGGTTTCCATGATAACGCACACGCATTGTAGAATTTAAAAGGAAAAGTGTAGGAAACCCATGAACTCCATACTTCGAGAGTATGCTGAAGTAAACAACACCACCACTCATTAGTTTAACAAGATATAAATACTCATAGCATGCAAATACCAAATGACAGATACTCATTTGCAAACCTTGGCCTGACAGTTGATTCTTTGATAGCAAAATGGGGGATGGAAGGATATAAAGAAGAAAGAATAGAGAAGCTCGGTCTAAAAGACCTAGAAAAGGGGCACCAAGATGCATAGAAAAGCACTGCTACATATTCATGACTATTCTTGTGAACCATGTTAAGCGCCTTTTGCAATGAAACCTCATCTCCCTTCACAGCAACAAAAAGTAAGCATCATTAAAAATTTATATAAACAAAAAACATAATCAGAATTTGATGCAATCCTCCCATGGACTGATTTCAGACCCAACGCAATAAAAATTATAGAAAACATAAATAAATAAATAAAACCTTAATGAAAATTAAAGGTAGGCATATCTCCATTTCCACCAGGATCATTCATACCAATCTTGAGAACTTATGTAGCCAATTTATATCAAGATAGCAGAATTTTTGAACTAATAAAATAAACAGTTAATGATGATATTTATCAGCTCATAATAATAGGGTAATTATACAAGCTTGAAAAAATTATGCTTATACCTTTCTAAAGCAAAGTTTACTCTTACAAGCAGCTAAAAAAATACCCTAAAAATCCAGTCCTCATTTCTTGATAGCATATTTACCATCTCATAACTAAAAAAAAATTTTTTTTTTAAAAAGCATTTTAACTAATAATTCTCTATACCTAGTTCAAATTAGAACAATAGAGCATCGAATCAGCCAATAAAAAAAGTATTTTCACCAAAAATAAATAAACAAATTTGAAGGGAAAAATAAAAAGGTAAGAGAAAAAAATCTGAACGTACCTCGGTAAGACCAACGAAATCGACAGATTCACTAAACTCAGAATTAATGGGACAGTAGGAGTCTCGAAAGTCAAAGATCGTGTCGTAAACGGAGTGCTTGTGACATAACGGAACCCTAACGGGAACGGAGACGGCGCACGCTATCCTCCCCCACAAAACCAACATTAGGATCCCCGTTTGCCATGCCTTCGTACCCATCAACGACCGACAACGGATCGCCGATTCACACAATATTACACGAAAAGCGACTCGACAATAATTTTTTTTAAAATAAAACCCTAAACAGGGATTTCTGAAAATGAAACGGCGAAGGAGAAAATAGGGAGGAAAAGCGATTGCATTTTATCAGAGAAGATAAGCTATAACGGATTTTTTTTTTTTTGGCTTTTATTTAATTTAATTTTGGGAATTTAATTTGGGAGGACAAAAGTTTGTCTGAAAGGGTTGAGAGCAAGAGCAGGTTTTTGGCCAGAGATCAAATAAATTCTATGTGTATTTTTATTGATAAAAATCATAATAATATGTAGCGAATAAAAAAAAAGTATTTTGTTTTATAATATAATATTTATATATAATTAGAAAAACTGGTGTTTGGAAAACACGAGGAAAAGGGTGGAAAGGAAAGAGAGAGGAGAAGATGATGTTACCTGATATCACAATCACGAAGTTGCGCCACGACGCTTCTTTCTTTTAGTTTTTTTTTATATATTTTTTTTTATTTTTCGGATTTGATTTTTTATTTTTTAAAAAAATTATTTTTGTTCTGACGGGCCCTTTTAACGTTTTTGTCTTTATTCGCTTGACTTTGGCCACTACCGTTATCCATCTTTCTTTAGGGGTTTTTTCCCCTAAAGAAAACCCGCATTCAGTTTTTCTTCGAGTCGAATTGCGAAGAAAACCCGTCTTTCATAACCTCCGCCGCAGCACCCCACCCCTTTTATTTTCTTTTTCTTTTATCTTTCTTAAAATTTAAATTCTCCTTGACGCATATGGCATACCAAAAACAATAATTGGTTTTCTTTTTTAAGTAAAGAGTCAAAACTATTGGCCGTTACTAAGAGACACAAGTAACCCGTCAGACATCTTATTAAGGAACAGAAAGCAATAGCAATGCTTTAAAAAAGTTTACCTCTAGATTTTCTTTACAACTTTGATTTTCATGACTCGTGATGTTAGCTTTGCTCCTACAACAAACATCAACTACAGTCTGAACTTTTAAAAGTGTCGAGGTCGTGCAAATATCTAAAAGCAGATTACATGTTACAAACGGATCCTGATATCTTTAACATATCTTTCTTTTTCTTCTCTTGAATTGCTAAGACTATGAAAGGCTACCTGATATCAAATACAACACCATAAAGTTTTTTGACAACTACTCTTACAAGAAATGATCAAAGCAAATCCAGACACCGGGGGGGGGAGTGTGGTTAGCTCACTGATGCTAACCCAGGCCAGTAGGGTAGACTTTAACACAACAAAAGGTAGTAAAAGAGGAGAAATTGGGAGGGGAGGCAACTTGTGTTATATATACAAATGTGCCAGGGCCCCAAGCAGCACAATCGTCAAAAAATAATTGCTGCAACAAACATTTTAAAAGTGCAAAAGTAAAACAGAAGAAGGTTATGCTTTCCGGTTACTGCCCAAATCAGTGAAAAAATTTTCTCTCGATTCTTTCTTGAGCTGGAGATAAAGAAACCACACAAGATCCTCAAATGTCAAATGTCAACAGAACTGATGAAGAAATCATTTGCACCAAGGGGAAAAGAGGCAAAACAAAGAGTCATACCAGAACTACAAACTCTGCCTCATGGAAGGACACCTAAGGATAATTTGAGGAACCCTTCAGCAGACTGGTTTCAGCTGGTTTCATGATCCTTCCATCTGGTTTCAGCTGCTGTCTACAAAAAATTCAGAAGCCATTAGCACACGTATATTATTGTTAATGTCTACCATCTTTATGGAGTGTTGTCCATTTTCTTTCATTAGGGTTTAGGAGTGTCAAGGTTGAGAGGGAAGGCAAAAGATTAGTAAATGCAGATAAAAAGAAGCAAGCAATAAAAAGAGGCTTCTTCATTTCATTTTCAATGCTCTCATTCAAATAAGAAAGAGAAGTGTATAGACCCATGAAGTCATGCACATACAGAAAAGCTCAGAACCAAATTCCAAAAAATTGAACTTGTCCATAAGATCAAAAACTGACTTGACCACATCCAGGCAGAAAATAGTTTCATTCCTGCAGAAATGTATATGCCTTTTTATGCATAAATCCAACTATTTCAGTTTATTTTTGTTTGTTGAAAGAAAAGGGCCACAGCACAAGATAATGTCAGATCTAGAATTCTTAAATGCTCCATGTAACAGCCAAGTAGCTTCACAAAATTATACAGGACAATACAATAAACTCTTCCTGATCTTTTAATCAATTTTTTGGGCACAGCAGTTTGTGTCAAGTTTGGGCATGTCCATATCTTTAAAATTATATTGTTCACTGCACAGTAGCACAGCCCAAGCTTCAAAAACCTTCAACTAGATCAAATCCCATTGAAAGATGGTGAGAACTCTTGTTCCCTTGCAACATTTAAAGGGAGGATAAAGGAACAGCTCAGGCATTATTAAATGTATAAGAATAGAAATGCAAAAAAGGAAAGGAAGTTCAAAAACGATATTGCAAAATCTTAGGCTAATGTATGTAGCAAAGTTTATCATTTCCATTGACCATATTGGGTTAAATACTAAGTCGGAAGCAACTTGGACTATATTACCTTGAGTTGGGAACCATATCAAATGGTTCAAACAGTTGCTATGTCCACTAGAATATAGGAAAAAATGCAAAGTGATTACAAAAGCTTGGCATATATCCAGCAAAGAATAGTCTTGTTTGGATGCAGAAATTACCTAAATCACAGACATTAGCCATTACACTGGCAAGAAGCAATCCCTCGTTACGCTGGTGTGTTCGTAGACGCACTATTCTACAGAAAATCACGATTCCTAGAGAATCTTGCCCGACAGCTGGCACATATAACAGCCACTGAGTTTCTCTGTGCCTCAATGTCAACAGCCTCATGATAAAACTCATTTCCACACCAGGAACACAAGGTAGTGACCTGATGTCGGCCAGCTACCTTAGGCAACAGTGGTAAAGCTTCCTTCCCAAGCCAAATAGAGGAATCAAACGTTAAAGCCATCTCCGAATCATATGATGGTACCTTGGAATCTCCTGAACGAGAGCTTGTTTGAGCGGTTAAAATATTATATTCCATACGTTCTATGCTATCTGATCTCAGCCCTTCAAAACCTGATACACTGCTGCACTTTCCACTAATGTTGAACATTTCACTTTCACCCTGTCCATTACAATGAAATTGTAAGCCAAACTAACACCAATTCTTTTTCAGCATTTATTTATTCATTTATTTAAAAGATAAACTTAGTGGTGACAGTACAATCAGCTATCCCTTTGGTTTCTATGGGGATGTCTACCATCAGGAATGACTTTTATATCATATTATTTTGCCAAGTAAAATAAGGGTTTCACGCTTTTCTGTATTATATCATAGCTTATAACAGTGATCCTGTCTGTACCTTATGTGACATCACATCAAATGTTGAGTAATAACCAGATGATTGCAACAATTGAGATGAAGTATCAGCCAAACCACTCAGCAGGTCACTTCCTTCATCACTTTTCCATGTGAGTCCGGTCATGGAATTCTCAGCACGTCGAGCATGATTGCCAAAACCAATCATTATTTCATTATTCCTTGCATTCTCAAAATCCTGTAACCTGGACCTATCATGAGCTGTGCCTGCATGAATCATACTCAAATTATTTGCAACCTGTGTTTGCTCGCTACCAGATAGACAGAATAAATCCTCAAAAGCACCTTTATTTTGCTTTGGTTCATGAAGACTGCCACTGCCAATACATGGTACATTATTTTTACCAGCAAATTTCTCCCAATTCTCAGAAAAGAGGGGGGAAGAACTTTCCTGCCCAGTGCCTGTCAGAGCAAATGCGCCTAGTCTGCCATGTGCATTGCCAATCAAGGAACTTTCCACTTTGTGTTTGGGCTCCTCTATTGTAATGAAAGAAACTTTATTCATACTAGTTTCATTGCTACTGTTTTGCTGATTAGCAGACTGTTCATGTAAACTGCTCTCAGACCCTTTAACCTGTTTACACTCCTCCACTGTGCAGGTAAATGTTTTCTTATATGAAGATGGACCAAATAGAAAATCTCTAGTCTTTGCTTGCCTGACACTAGCCAGAATGTTCATATCCAATCCAGTGTCATGGCTGCCAGCTTGAATTAATCCACTAGACTTTTGGACTTCGTCAAATTCAGACACCTCAACTGTCCGGCTAGGGACCTTAAATGCATTATTATCAGAAGGAAAGATTTGCTCCCCTCCATGTAAAGTAAGCAAGGCACTTTCACTGTCCTGTGAGGTTTTCTTTATGCAGTGATTGCTTTGAAAACCAATAGTAGAGTCCTTTTTCACAGATTCACTGACCACAATAGATTCGGGATCATCTAATGTGCCAGTAAAGCCAAGAAACAAATTATTGTTGATGACACATGATTTATCATCTTTAGATGAAGTTAAACCACATCCAGAACCTCCTTCTTGTGCAGAATCTATTGTAACAGAAGCCCCTTTCACATAATCTACAAGATTACCTCTTTGTTCGTTGCTGGATAGGGTGAGCAAACAACTTTCAGAGCAATTTTGTTGCTCGGCATCAATTGTGACACTATCTGGCCCTGTGCAAGTATTGGCACAATTAGCTTTTGGATCATCCCCTACAGCTTTCTCCTCACAATCAGGTTCCATCCCTTTCAGAAAGCTAGCAAAATGTCTATATTCAAGATTTTCATCACAAAACATATTTCCCTCAGCATTTGGAGCAAGCAAACTGAAGTTTGAAGCCATCTCTCTCTTCTTCTCCTCCATTGAGTGAAGGGCCAATCGAACATCTGCTTTATCTGAAGATTGAGATATCCCACTACTCTCAGCAGTAAAAAAGACTTTTTCAGAACCCAAACAAACATTAAGTTCAACAGCAGCAGTATCAGTGACCTCCCCTTTATTATTAGTTATGATACAAAACTTATTTTGTCTATCACAGGTTTTGTCAGCTAATGTTTTCTCATTCCTGTTAACCTTGATATCCTGTTCATGAAACAAAAAATTGCATTCGTAACCGTGTTTATCAGTATACGTTTCGACTAGAGCATTTTCTTTAGCTCCACTACAAGGAAAACCAGGTCTTCTCTCATTATTGCTAGGGGAATTGAAAGGCTGAATGTTGTTTTGCATTGTTAATACTCCAACTGAACCTTCGACTTTCTTCATATTGTTCATCATGTGGACACCAAGATGGCTACTGTAGCAACTCCTTTCTTCAAACAGTTCATAACAAAACTGGCACTCATATTGTCCATTTTTAATTATCACCTCCTCATTCGTTGAGGTACCA